TCTATTCCACTCTGTTACCAGTCACAACTCATCTGGCGGCTCACCCAGCGCCGTGCTCAGTGTGCTGGAACAAAACGCTTTTGTGTCAGATCTCATTCAAATGCGCCTCGGGCTGACTGCGCATGTGTGACGACGTCTGCAATTAAACTGTCTCTCGATGTTGTTGCTGTAATTATATCGAGCCCCAAACATTAGCAACATGCAAATCTGCAGGCTCAGTGAGAAACCTGTTGGATCACGGCGGAGCATCCTAAAAGTGGCTTTCCAACTGGGTCACCTCTGGGTCATATATATATATATATATATATATATCCCTTTCAACGGCCTTACAAATTGCAGCATAAGACCGAAAATTGTAAATCAATCGTTGCTGTGAATCAGAGATTTAGAAGTGGGTATACGCTACGGAGAGACTGACAAATATTTAATATATTTTCTTAAAACTGTCTGAAAGGAAGAATGTGCGACATGTTACACAAAGCAGAGATCAAGTTTATCCTCCGATTATATAAAAGCTGTTTTAGTCGACGAGAAGAACATACTCACTGATTATTTGAATGTCATGTAAGCACTTTTAGATCACGCTCATTCTGTGTCAGTTTACATGCAATGTGAAACTACGAGCTAACTAAAGAGCGCTAACATTAGCATGCTAACACAACAATGCAGGACACAGATGACAGCAGCTCGAGCAAAGGATGATTTTGTCCGCCGCTTGTGCTTAAAGGTGCGTTCTAGTTGATAACTCCTTGGTGCTAACAGCCTAACAGCAGTTTGTTTTGGTTTCATGCTGGTGCTCAAGGGCGACATCTACTTTCTCAAAAAGATGCACATTCTTCCTTCAAAAGCGAGTCTATGCAGGACTTACACGACATACTCAAAAAGTCTTTTGTGCTGAACAGACAAAATGTTAGCACAACAAAGCCAGTGATAAGACAAATGACTTTCAGCAGAGAGCTGCGGGGGATGAATATCTTTTAGTCGAAACCTCAAGGGATGGGTTGTTGTTTTTACAAATGAAACACAATCTCACCCCGCTCATGTCAAAGTCACAGACAAAGTGTCACGATTAGAGATTTACACAAAAATCTTGCACGGCAGCCAAAGTATCATCTGTCAGGTGTGCTGGCATGGCCAACTAACCACAAAATGAAGAACCAAAAAAGAAACCGGAGAACAACAACAAGACGACAGCGTCTGGAGATGAATCTGAGAGGATTGAGCAGCCGATGTCAGCGAGGACAGTTTCTCTCTGCATCACTTCTCTGCAGCCATGTGAGACCTGCGCCATGTGTTTCCTTTAAGCCCTGAACTCAGCTCTGTTTGGACTTGAACGTGTGAATTCCCCCTTAGGTCGTGATTCAAACTAATCCGCCCAGTAACCCTGTAAAGTCCAAAATACAAAAGATGAGCATTTATTAAAGTGTTGAAGTAACACCTTGAGATCATCACGTCTCTGAATATGTGTTAAAAGCTCCTGTAGGGGAGAGGTCGCTGGGTATGAAGCGGACTGATGTTAAAACTAAGGCCAGACAGAAAAAAAAAAAAGAATCAGAGGACTTAGACCTGGAAAAACAAACGTGGAAGCAATTTTTCTAAAATCATTTGCAGAAAATATATTTCTGTAGATATTATTTTTCAGATTACAGTTAATTCATACAGATGTATTAGTCACCTCTTACATAAAAAATATTCTGCACTAAAAGTCATGTAATGAGGATTGCGAAGGTGCTGAAATAAATAATATTTAAGAGGGGGAAATATGTAATTTAACAGTATTCAATAATGTGCTTTCAAATGGCAAATAAACAAAAAAAAACTGAGGCCAGACCGTCAGGAAAATTGTGAACTTTCGGTATGTTGTTCCTTTTTAAACCCTGTTGCCACGGCGATGGGGCGGCAGAAAAGGAAATTAACAGCACGCGTAATTTTCCAAAGAAAAGACTCACCGAGATTGGTGCAGCCAAGAACAATTACAACAACTACTAATCGGTTACAGCGCTTTCTCTGGTTTCCTACTTCCTGTCCCAACAGTGATAGTCTCCCGCTGTGAGATGTGTAGCCGTTATCAGCAGCCACGTTTACATCTCTCTTCCTGCAGGACTCAGGACTGTGGATTAACATGTTGATACTTTTACCAAGGAACAAAGGAACTGATCAATGATTTAGGATGTTTTGAACTTTTACAACACCTGGAATAAATAACCGAGCAGAAACAGAACACTCTGCTATCTACGAATTGACTCCAAAGACATGAACTGTGACCGAAACCAGTCTCTGCAAAGTTGTAAAATTGACCATCTGTTGAAGGACTGCTGAAGAGCTGAATTAAACCACAGCGTTCAATTCTGCATCAAATGAACATTTATGTCTTTCTTCATCTAGATATTTGTAATTGTCACATTGAATGTATTATAATCATCTTTTTAAACTCAAAATCTGATCTTCAGAACAGCAATAAGAGTTATATTATGTTTAATAGGAATTTGACATGGAGCGCTATTGCCATATAGTGTTAGAATATCCATGAATACGTAACCTTCATAATTATACATTTAGACGTGTTATAAAGCATACTCTTTGATATTAGCTATAGAAGGTGTTATTTAAAGACACCAATTTATTTTCCTACTTTATTAATATGTCTTGTTAAGAATGCTGACTGTATAACATGTTTTTGTTCACCTACAGGCTGGGATTAACTGAGGATGTTCCCAGGTGGTGTGATTTTCATCTCAACATGAATCTGATAGAAATGTTTGTCTAAATATATGACGTGAACCTACATCAACGTGGATCTGATAGAAATAATATCGAAATGAATGTATGGTGACGTATATATGTTTAGATTCTTATTCTTAATCTTATTGAGTAAACTCGGTTTAGTTTAAACAATTGTCCTCCGGTCAGAATGGGAGTCACCCATGGGCGGCACCCCTCTTTGCCTGCAGACCCCCCTCCTCCCATCCAGGTGATAAGAGTTCACACTCAGCTCAAATCTTTGGTTCTTTTTAGTTTTGGTTTCTTGAAGTTTAGAGCTTCAGCTCTTGCTCGCTTCTCTTCGGACTTCGGTCCGAATCACTTCTTTTAAGTTTGTGCCGTAGAGACGAGTTTCTACCGAACTTTCTTTTTCACGCACAATTTTTGGAACATCAGTTCTTTCTGGCTCAAGCAAGGTTTTAGAACTTTCTTCTCCAAAGTCTTTGCTCTTCAATTTTGAACGCCAATTCCTTAATTTGGATTCATCAAGATGGCCATCCAGTTAATCTGAATTGGAAATCGACGTATCAAAAGTCTCTTTAACATTTTTTTTCCTGTTGGATCCTCTTGGAGCTTCTGAGACGACGGCTGAACCAACGTACATCTCACAGTAAGACTGCTGGTGGCAAGGGGTGTTGGAAGATTGAGTCATGAGTCGTGTCTATTCAGAGCCCTCCTTTAAATCCAAATAGAATCCCAAAATTCCTTTATGAACTTTTTCTTTTTGACAATTTTCTGATTAAGTCATTCAAACAATACAGCGTCTTATCTCATTACTAAATATATAATGTCACCATACATTATAATTGCATTATCCTAATCATAATAATCACATTCTTTATCTGTTTCATCTATACATTATTGTTTACCCCTTTTTATATTAAATTTTACACATAAAATTCAGGACTTTGTCTGTGTGTTTTCTTGTTTAACATTTCCAGAACTTACTTCTTTCAAGATATGAAACAAGGTTCAGTGCTTGGACCAATTCTCTTTACATTATATTTGCTTCCTCTGGGAAATATTATGAGGAAACACTCCATACAGTTTTATTGTTATGCAGATGATACTCAGCTCTATGTATCAATGAAGCCCGATGGCACCAGTCAGTTATGAAACGTGCCTTAAGGACGTTAGGACCTGGATGACCAGAAATGTTTTGCTACTTAACTCAGACAAGACTGAAGTTATTGTGCTAGGCCCTAAGAACCTCAGAGAGACTTTTTCTAGTGATTTAACTGTCCTTAGTGACATCAGCCTGGCATCTAGCATCACTGTTAGGAATCTAGGAGTTCTATTTGATCAAGATATGTCTTTTAGCTCTCACATCAGGCAAGTTTCAAGAACAGCCTATTTTCACCTTCGTAATATATCCAAGATTAGGAATATCCTGTCGGAAAATGATGCAGAAAAACTAGTTCATGCATTTGTTACCTCCAGGTTAGATTATTGTAACTCTCTTTTGTCAGGGTGCTCTGGTAAGTCTCTAAAGACTCTTCAACTAGTCCAGAACGCTGCAGATCGTGTACTGACCAGAACCAGGAAATGGGACCACATCACTCCTGTCCTGGCTTCTCTGCACTGGCTCCCTATACAGTCTAGAATAGAATTCAAGATCCTTCTTCTCACTTACAAAGCTCTAAATGACCAAGCACCATCTTATCTGAAGGAGCTACTAGTGCCGTACTGTCCCTCGAGAGCGTTGCGGTCCCGGAGTGCAGGCCTGCTGGTGGTACCTACAGTCTCTAAGTGTACTATGGGGGGTAAAGCCTTCAGTTATCAGGCTCCTCTCCTCTGGAACCGCCTTCCAGCCGGGGTCCGGGAGGCAGACACAGTCTGTATTTTTAAGAATAGACTTAAAACTTTCCTTTTAGATAAATCTTATAGTTAGGGCTGCTGCTGGTGTAGACCAGCTCTTAGTTATGCTGCTATAGGCTTAGACTACCGGGGGAACTGGCACCTTGAGCTCCTCTCTCTCGCTCTCTCTCTCTCTTTTACCTGCTTTT